GGAACAAGAAGCTATTAGTAGCAAGGGCATCGCTACTAGGAGCAAGGGCGCCACTAGGGGCTCCTGGCCGTACTACTAGGAACAAGAAGCTGCTAGGAGAAAGGGCATCGCTACTAGGAGCAATGTTTCATGACTTGGACGATTCAGCTTTTGTGAGTACTGAGTACATCTGAGTGCTGAGTGGCAAGTGGTCTTTGCCTATGTTGGAGGCCATCGCTAGTAGGGTGGAGGCCATTCCAAATACTACAGCTCTCGTGTAGGGATCGTCAACTTGGTCATTCAGCGACGACTGGGTCGATGTTCACCTTGTTGACACCGGTCTTGGACCGGAAGAGCTCCAATGCCATTTGGCTCCGCTCCACCAGGCGGCTGGCACCGAGGACCACCTTGTCCAAGCCTTCCGCCTGGCGGACCTGCAAGCAAGCAGCTGAGGCAGCTCATTCTGATGCAACAGCGAGAGAAATTGGAGAGTTGATGCGGATGTGCCTGGATTTTTTGTAGGTGTGTGTGGAATACACCTAAAAATGAATGGCTGTGGTGCAGCCCGTGCCTTATTGGGAGCCAACTTGTTGTGGAAAAAATAACATTTATTGATATTACTGTTCTGTAATTGGTTAATGCCCATATAAAGTCCTGTTTCGGGAAGCTGACAGGAAAACACAATGAAAAAGCGTTTGTTTTGGACGGAGTAGCTTTCATCCAGTTGCCTCAGCAGTTCGTGCGAAAGCCTTTCAAATCATCGAGGTGTACATGTCTAACCTGCATGACCAATGTTCATCAAGCAAGCGACATCTCTGAACACCCATTCTTTGCTCGGGACACACCAACGGCCGGCAACTGCCTCACCTGCACGGCTCCTTGGATCTCCTTGGCCCAGAACCGAAGTCGTGCCTCAGCGACGTGTCGAAGAGCAAAAGGAAGCTAGCAATGGCCAACCAAATAGCTTCTAGCTACTAGTAGAAATGCCCTTGTTACTAGTAGCTTCTTGTTACTAGTAGTAAGGCCAGGAGCCCCTAGTAGCGTCCTTGCCCCTATTAGCGATGCCAGGAGCCCCGTTCGTAGCTTCTAGCTACTAGTAGAAGCTACTAGTAGCTTCTTGTCACTAGTAGCTCATGGCCTCCAACCTACTAGCGATGGCCTCCAACGGTCGACAACCGGAAAGTCACTCAGGTCACTCAATGGTCGCACCTGGAGAGAGCCGGACCAAAGCATATCCATCTCCTGTGAGATCGCGACTGTACACTCGTAAGATCTCGTCACTCGTAGCACTTGAGGATTCAAACTTAGGTTCCTTTCCCAAAAACATTGGGTATCTTGTTTTCATTCCGCGATGTGGTGTTTGGGGATGTGTGTAAAACCAAACCCATAAAGTATGTAAGCAAAATGTTGTTAAAAGGCAAATGGGCAACGCTTGTCTTGGCTTTGGCCCTTGCGCAATGGATTTGGTTTGACATGCTCGTGAAGCGGGGATCCTTGTTTTGTTTTGTGACTGCAACCCAACGGCGTCGAGACTTCAAGGAGTGTTGAGAGATTGACAGGATCAGTGGATTCGCGTCCCCAGAAGCACCAACAAGAAACTGCACAAATCACACAACAAATCGTAAAGCGATTCCAGCATGGTTCAGCACAACGCTAGTAGGGTGGAGGCCATCGCTTCCAGGTTGCAGGCCATTGCTGGTAGCTTGAAGGCCATCGCTCTTAGTTTGGAGGCCATTGCTAGTAGGTTGTCAGGGTTCTCACTGGTCTCGGACCTTCCCAAGTTTCGCCTCTCAAGAAAACACAACATCGGGTGGTACTGAAAAGGACTAAAAACACTCTTCTTTTGCGCGAGGACTTCCGAAAAATCCGAGCAACTGGGCTGCCCCAAGGCGGCGACCCATGGCTTTACTTAGCACATATCCACTAGTAGTAATGCCCTCCAAGCTACTAGCGATGGCCTCCAACCTAGTAGCTTCTATCCTTCCGCAACAGCTTGGGGAACTTCGAAACTTGATCTGGTTGCATATCGCATCGCAATAGATGAAAAGCACTACGCTAACGCATATTCTCAGATCTGGAGAGTGGGACAACATCTCAAGGTCACATTACATTTCGTTGTATACTATAGTTACTAGCTGCCGTGGATGTCCTGCAGTTCAAACCAGAGAAACAAGTGAGGCTCTTTCTGAAGAGCATCTCTCTCCAGCAATTCACCCACTTCCGAAACGTTGAAATGCCTCAACATGCTCGCTAGTAGGGGTGGAGGCTATCGATATTAGAAAGAAATGAATGAAAGAAAGAACATGAAAGAAAGGTAATGTCTTTAATTGTGTTTTCTTCGCTTATTTATTAATTCTTACTTCGCCGTGTGCTCGCCATGTGTTCGCCATAGTCGCCTCGAAGAGGAGCCTTGCGCCTTGCATCGGTTCACCTCTGTCATGGACCCACCAGATATCCGTATCGCTTCAAAGGAGGTAGGTCTCTTGAACAGCATAGCAAATAATAGAAGTAGAGCTAGTAGGAAGGTTGCCATCGCTAGTGGGTTGGAGGTCATCCCTAGTGGGTTGGAGGCCATCGCTAGTGGGTTGGAGGCCATCGCTAGTAGGTTG